CGGATAGAAACAATACATTATTCACACGAACAAGAAAACGGATAGAAACTATATATTATTCACACAACAAGAAAACGGATAGAAACAATATGTTATTGCACATGAATTTGTTGTATAAATGAAACGGGCCACACAAACATACGGGCTATATTTTATAGTACCCCAGCGGGCCAGCGGTAAATTACGGGCTTACATCTCCATATTCTGAGATTTGATTCTTGGTGGCGGACAGAGCGTAGATAGCCTATTGTGTAGCTTTGCGCGAAATTCAAAACAAACGAACAAAAACCTGAACTTTCTACATTAAAAATAAAATGAGTTAAATTTAATAAACAATGTTTACAAAGTTTGTTGAGATCCAAACCAGATAATGCTCTGTTTCAAGCTTGCATTTCTATCAAAATAGCCTAACAGACCAAACCTTGCTCCAGGGTGTATTTGGTAGCCTCTCTTTCTTATGAAGATTTATACAAGTATAATAAATATTCAACAACCAAATACATGGCCTTGGGAGACGTTATATATGACCTTTCTATAAAATGCACCATGTCACGTGTACTGGCAACGTTTTGTTTCACTCGTTATATAGGTTATGGAGAATCTATAACATTGATGCTAATGGTTCATTCCGTGAATTAGTCAGTAAACAAACCGTTTAACATACGAGAAACCTAAAAATAAATACGAAGCCCAATCTATTATTCGTTTCACCACTCGTCAATGAGTTAAGTGTGAGAAATCCCACGTTTTCCTTTTTTTTTAATTTTTATTTACTTTTTTCCAAGGTTCCTGATCAGGGGTGTAATTCCCCGAAACCGGTATAGCTCAGTAACAATGGATGAAACCAACGACGTATTGAGTTTTATAATAGTTGTATTTACAACATCGCTGAAGGTTCGGAATTTGGCTCGCTGCCGGTACATTTATTTCGCTTTAGGAACTTATAATTAACAAAGAAAAAACCTTGTAGAAATATTTAACATATGACTAATTTTTCAAAGTTATCTACATCATAGATCAGAAATATAACTAATTTCATATACCGTTATAACTGGAAGTATGTTAACACATAAAAACATTACTACTAGAGAGTAAATTTTCATCAGCTGGTTTCCCTGCTGTTATCGACATTTTGGACCATAATCCAAAAAAAT